GAAGCTTGAATGCCTTGTTATTTCAACAACGTCTAAACAATTCATTTTGCATGAATTCTTCATGAACGTCATCGACTAGACTCATTCAAGGGGCTGACGGGTTTACTGTTTTATTGTCACAAACAAGTTAGCCATTTCAGGGTATAAATTTTGTAGTCGACTTTATATTATTGACGTTCGGACTATAAATCATGTTCTAATTGCACAGTACGTTAGAATGTTACAATTAGTTCTGTGTAAGTTTCTGAGAGAACGAGCATAATACGTATCCGGATTACGTTGTCGCTGATTCTACTATCTCTACAATAGTGAACCAAATATCACACAGTTGCATTAGGTAATGAGTGAGTAGCGCTCACTAATTATAGGCTCAAAGCTAATCTAGAGGACCTCAAGGGTTTTCCGCTGCGACGTTTTTGACTGTGTCTCAAGATTGTAATACCACCTCAAAGTCCGTCATCGTAATGTCTTACTGCTTTCATGTGCGCCTAAAGAACTACCATACTTCTATGACTATTCGATTTCCCATCTAAGTGCTTTTTATGCGGACATTAAGTGATCTGCTTGTCTCGCCAATGTATCCGTCACCACATGTCCTACGAGAGATCAGGTATATTATACCTGAACATATGCAGTCACCCTCCCTACCATTAGGTCATATCACCTAGTCAGTCGATCTACACAGGCTGTCATACAAGTGGATGTGAACCAATTGGCGATGCTACTGTGTCATACTATGCCGAGTTGGAAATTCTCCACATTCCGGTGTGAGGTTTGCGCGCCGCATGTGAAATAAAATTTTAATTTTAGTGTTCCAGCTGCACTAGAGATTTTCTGGATAGACCAAAAACGCTATTAGAATTTATCAAGATTTTTGCTACGAATAAATACTAAAGTCTTTGAGGAAAGATTTTGTTCAACGAAAAATGCTTCAACGTAGAATAAAATTTATTTTTGTTATTATAGAGGAGTAAATGGAACATTGGAAAAATAAAATAGCTGTCCAAATTCCTGAGATTTGCGCTATCGAAGGACTACTAAATTGTCTGGAAAGAACTAGAAAAACTATTTCTTGATCATGGATACGGATAAGGAAAAGTAGCAATCTTAGTTATGACGAGAGTTATCGATGACGTGACATCGCATTGATTGTGCAACATCTTCTTTGTCAAACTGTTCATTGTTTTCCGTTTTCAGTTATAATATAGATCTGAAATACTGTATAAAATAACGTGTATTAGAGCTGACAGATTAATCATTACATCTGTCAGCATGATTGAGTTCATTGTCGACAACGACTATCTGGGTCAAACCGTTGACGGTTGGTTGCTGACAGATAGATGCGTTGTAGCGTAGAAAAGGTGACAAAACGGACGTCAGTATTGCAATGGGTTAAAGCATGCGTTCTCAGTTAGCATGAGATGCGGCTTCGAGTCCCGTCTAACGCAGAAGCTTTTGCACATCAATGCTACATCGGTGGATACATCTGTAACTTACTTACACTAGCTGTCAAATAAAAAGAATTTTGTCACTATATCCTTCTGCGCTAATTGATACAATTGACAGAATGGCAGCATCACTTTGATTGCGTAGTAAAAGAGAGCTTTTTATTCAAACATCAAAGTGATATTAACACCAAAGGATACGAGTATTTAAGCGATAACTGTAAAGTAACGAAATATCGCAAGAAACCCTAGATTAACTTTTAAAATGGTGAGAAAACCCAAATCAGATAACAAAAATCGCTGATCTGCTGTGCTTTGAACTGAGCATGGCGATGACAATGGTGGTGAAGAACTATACTGAAGGTTGAAGAAACTATTACTGGCAGGTGGTGCCAGTATTAAAGAAATGTCAAATTCAGTACTTCAAAGAGTATAGAGCTCTCATCACCAATCAATCTCTGAGGGATGCGTCATGCATTCAATAAAATCGCGTGTCGTTTGAAGGGAATTGAATGAATATGTGGCTCTTACGATGGCTCGCAGCGACTATCGATAAATCAAGTCAGTGCTGCGATCATCCCAGACTAGTGTGGTACCAATTCACAGTCCTTGCATTCCCATCGTCATTAATGCAGGGCTGCGAGCGGGACACTACTGTCGCACAAGTTCCGACGGTATTTCTTTAGACCAGATCTTTCTTGTGCTGCTTTCAGCAGTTTCCTCTGCCTGTATCGGTGAAGATCCTCTTGCAGAGCTCTTCTGCAGCTAGATTTTAATTTCACTCGAGCAAAATGTCGTTGTCATAGAATACGCGCCTCAGTTTTCTTCTTTTTTCGAGCAACTCTATCGCGGTAGTGGAGATGCGACTCTAAGCTTCATGTTGAAGCAATTGAAGCGGACTCGACACGACTTTCAAGTTCTTTTGACAAGCAGCTCGGATTCTTCGATCAGGTCTACCATTCATAATTACAAGAGATTTCGTTTAGATTGTCTTCACAGCAGACGGCTTGACAATTTCGTCCCGATCTATGACATGACTTCGTTTTCCAGCGTACGACTAAGTCGCATCTTCGCGCGAAGAAGACGAAGATCGGACCCAGTACAGAATGAAGGACTACGAAGCTGACGAAGCTGGCGAAGCTTCCTTGAATAAACCAGCATTCAAAAATATCGCGCATTTCATGAGTACTATGAGTAATTCGGATACGATGCTAATAAAAAATAGTGAAAATGTTTGTGCTTTGAGGAGGCGAACTCACCGAAACGATAGCATAGCACTCCAAAGAAGTCACACCATCCTGGGGAAGCTTTCAGTAAAAATATCATGACAGATTTAAAGAACTATTTGAGCAGAAAATTGCCGCTTTCGTAGTTTTTCTCAATCTCAGTGGAAACTAACTTCTGAAGGACTACAATGGAAGTCTACCAAGTGGCATTTATTCGTTGGAGCATCACCTACTCTTACAAAATGATTCAGTGATTGTCAGTTAGTGGAAGCCAGTGTATTTGTGTATTATAATGCGTTTACTAATTTAAGAAACTATGGGTACGTTTTACAGTGTCATCTACTCCTTGCAAGCAACTAAACCGGCACATTCGTGCCACGATAGGAGCCGATTCTTAATTCTCACCGTAATCAGGTTTACCACTTGAAAAATAAATAGGCGATAACAAGCACCATATAACTTTTCTACCTTCTCAAGTGCTTCGGATGAAAAGAATAATTATTCTTCTGATTTTTGCTAGCAAATTTCAAAGCAGATGCAAAATTATTCACGCCCGAAAAAGCGTTCAAAGCAAATTACAACGAGAGGAATCGCATAGATCGCATACAAGGCTAATCCAGAATTTTCATTAGTGATCAATGATTAACCTCCCTTTAGTTCACAATTTGCTTTGTAAGCACACCAGGGTACGCGCGTAGATTTTTCACGAACTGAAGCTTGGTGGACTTCAAGCACTGAAAACTTTTCTAGAACGGATTTTTATCCAGTAGTGGGTGGCATTATACTGCTAACGGAGATAGTGTGCAAAGTTGAAATTTGCAGCGTGCAGGAAAATCCTTCAATGTCAACATTTCGTGAAGTTATGCCTCACTGAGCAGCTCGTGAAATGGCCATGACAATCTTGCTTGCGTCTGAGAACTCAACTTATAATCCCTGCTTTACTGTAGAGAAAACGGTTTTTAGGATAGAAGCAAAGCGTTGGAATCAGGAAATTTTACGCTATCGAATGATTACTAACATTCTAAAGAAAGAGTTCTATACGGCGAGATATAGACGCCTGTGAAACAAAATCTTATCTTGGAATTTTCGGCGTAGTAAAAAAAAGTTTTCAAAACATCGGTTACGTGCGGATAGTTTGAGATTTAAGTTTTAGAATGATTACTAGACGCTCTTTTTGAGAAGTTCTAACGAGCGTAGCGGATAGGCTTGAAAATTGTGCTAGCAAATGGAATCGAACTCTATATACATTACAAATGAAATAAGGTTTGTTTTCTTTTGTATTTTGTTCTTTTAATTTGTTCACTGAACGATAAGGACAGCAGTGGTATTCATCTATCAACAAGAATGCTTGATACAACTACGACGCAGATAAGCTGCATAGACAATAGTTGTTCATTGTAACGGAACTACAAAGTAAGACAGACTCGTTAAAAGAGCGAAGATCGAAAAATTGCAATGTGATCGTAAAAAAGAAGGGTCAGAACAGATAAATAGTGATGATAAATTGACCAGCCTAATTTTAGACGATAAGATTACTAATCAGCAACAGTTTCCTCTCACACCGTTCCATACAAAAAGGTTTACTGAACCCTTAGCTTTCTCTTTCAGTAATTAGGCTAACATTAAAGTGATTGATGAATCCTTAATCCAGCAGTTTGTCGGCATCCATAGAATTTACCCTTCCCGGCACTCGTGATATATTAACTTCTGATGTGTACGAGGTGCTGAACGAAATTCATACGATTCTGAAGTCCGAAGTAGTAGAGAGTTCCCCGTACACATGGGCTCTCTGGAATACGCGAGTCTTCTAGTTGATCATAAGCAAGTAGTTTTACACCAAACCTAGAAATGGATCTCTTTTGGAACTTCATTATCCGCCTTCACAGTGTTCTTTTTTCTCTCTGCGTGAATCCCACCACTAGCATTCATTCGTTTATTCGTCTTCTTGGTGAACGGCGTAGAATAGTGGTTGAGCGAGTCTCCCTGCTATCTCGAAAATAGCCCGGCTGTGGCGTTCCCATGAGGCGCTGTTGTTGACTGCCGGAGAGAGGGGAGGGGGGGGGGGGGGGAAGCTAGGCTTCACGTGCGCCGCGCGACGAGCATCACAACCATTCGGCTACGGCCCCCTGATTGGTATAGATCAATTTGCGAAATTCTACAAGAATTATGCCATTCCCTCGACCCTTTATATAAACCTCGCTCAAAGCAATGACATTCTGATAACGTGTCTAAGCCCGCTAATCTTTTCTTTTCATGTAACGCCTCTGGTACTGGTACTATAATGTTTTCACTATCTCCACAGGAACGCTAAGCGAAATGCAAGATCAGGAACCTCAGATGGGAGTCGAACCCGCGTCTCGACCTTTCTGGGAGCGAGTGATACCACTGCACTACCGGGACATCTGTTCCGCTACCACTCAATACACACAGCCCTAACGAGTTCTAGAGTTAATTTCACCGGTCCTACCATCACACTTGATGCAAACTTCTTCTACGAGTTTTTTCCCATTGATGAGTACAGGCACGTCTCCTTCTCATCTTTCCCTGCTCATTCCTGTCTGTAGAATCGCGTACACTGCGATAGGTCTGGCTCCACCCACTTTTTTGTGTTATCGCACGTGATTTTACAGACTTTGTGTATTTGTAGTATTCATGTAATAAAAAATTCCAGGTTAGTGATGAGGACCGGTGGCGTCGTTACTCATCAGCCTTTTGTTGAGAGTCATAACTGCACGAATGGAATACAATGGATAAAACGCGTGAGTTCTTAAGATTTTCTGACGCTATTCAAGAGCTGTGACCATCGAGTTTAAGCCTAAACCTAAGCCTAAGCCTAAGGCTAAGCTCATGCCTAGGCCCAAGCCTAAACCTGAGTCTAGGCCTTAGCTTTATCCTAAGCCTGAGTTAGGCCTAAGCCTCAGCCTAAACCAAGCCCAGGCCTAAGTCTTAGCATAAGCCTAAGCGTAAGCCTAAGCTTGAGCCTAAGCCTGAACCTAAACCGAAACCTAAGCCTAGCCCTAAGCGTGCTCTCGGTAACTTCTTACGTTAAGGAAATCAACTTTGAGAAAACCGTTAAAAATTGAGGGGACCACAATTCTCCGCCACTTATATGCTGTTTATATTTATATGTTTAAATTTTTGTATTACTATGTTGTACCTTTTCAATATTACTATGTTACATTGCTTATTTATTATCTATTATTGTTAAATCTTACTATTACTGTTTATTTATTTTCGTCATTTATTACTATTTCATCATATATAATGTTATGCTATATTTTTGATATTCTTGAATTACATTTTTTATTACTATTATATTGCATTGTTTTCTTTATTATCTATTATTGCTTTTTTCTTTAATATTGTCATTATTTACTTGTATAATTCACAAATTTTTTGTATTATTGAATTTTTTTTATTATTACTACTTTACATTATTTTTTGTTTGAACTATTGTTTATTATTATTACTTATTTATTTATTTTCGTCATGCATTAATATCTTATTATACTTATCATTATCTTATACTTTTCGTATTGTTGCATTTATATTCCATTTGTCATTACCTCTATTTCTTTTATTTCTACTTTTTGTTTTTTTTTTATTTTCCAACTGTTTATGTTTATATGCTCTCGTAAATCAATAATTTCCTGGGCATTTCAACGCTCCACATTTTATTTCAGTTTATTTTGTTTATTTTACTAATTATTTGTCCTATTGACTCATTTGAAGGCATGCATGCGGCGCAGTAGTAGAGGTGCCTGCGCCACACACAAGGTCGACGGTTCGATCTCGCGCTTAAGTCTCAGCAAGGCATCCATCCCTCCGAAGTCGGTAAATTGTTAACAGATTTGTCTGGGAGCATAAGCAGCACTGACTCGATACAGTGAGAGGCCATCGCGAGTCATTTGTAAAGGCCAGATGTGCATACACTCACCTCAAAAGAAGTTAAGAATTGAAGATGAATATTAGACACATCCCTCAGGGATTGATCAACGCTTATGGTTCCGTCCTTTTGTCATCATCTACTGATCTATTCCCTCAATTTCATTTATCTTATTTTTGAAGAAGAGAATACGTCATAACATTAGCCGATTGAACCTTTTTTTCACAATTTTTCACTAAAAATGGATTCTTTTCGGTTATGAGTGTACAAATAAAAACTGATCTCATCCGCTGGACATGAAGTTTTCATTGGAGTGTCAGTGACAATTCGAAGGCTGAAACTTTAGGCTACAGCTCACGTCGCCGATTCTCGAAAAGACCCTTTTTATAACGCTGTAAAATCCACACAAAACTATGCCTCAGACTCGCATGTTTCTTGCCGATCACATCCCTTTCTTTGGACTATTAGTAATAATTCGATAGCTTATTCGTTTCTGATTCCAAATCTTTGCTTATATCTTGGAAAGACTTTTTCTCTGGCAACGCAGCAGTTTCAATAAGTTGATTTCGCATGTGCGACCAAGGGGGTCTTTGGCGAAATCACGTGCTGCTGGCTAAGGCAACCACGTGCGCTGACGCAATGTCGTAAGACCGGTCCAATTCGATAGCTCCTGTACAGCCAGTGAAGTCGGTTTTTCATTTGTCCCCATATACTCGAAAGAACGGAGAAAAGGATAAAGCTCAAAGCCCTCGGCGTTGATCAATCCCTAAGAGTTGCGTCAACATTCGTCTTCATTTTTCAAATTTGTCTGAAGTGATGGAATGCATATGTGACCTGTAACCTCACTCGAGGTGGCGTCCCACTGTATTGAATCGGTGCTTCTTATCTTTCCCGAAAAGTTCGGTATTGAATCACCACCCCAGATCTATGGATGGTTTGGTGAGCGTTGAACGTGGTACTGAATCACTATTGACCATCGATTGATCGATCGTGCGTATTGGAGAACACCTCTGACCGTTGCGCTGCACAAGCTCTTAACCTCGTGGTACCAGTTTTTATCATAATCTGTCTTGTTGACCTGTTATTTAGCAACTCGGATGACCGCACGAATTGCCATATTTTTACTTAAAACTTTCTTAAGGTGGGTATTTTTGTCTCGAAATCGATGGATAGCTAACGTTTTCGGCGATCTTGCCTTCTCCGGAGAGCAGTAGATTATGTATTCGCCAAACCATATCCAATTATTCGCTTAGTATCTCCTGTATTCAGTGAACAATTGGATTTGGTTTGGTATAGTACGTCGTGTAGGCTCTGGCTGAAGAAGGTGAAATCGCTCAAACGTTAGCGAAGTATCGATTTTGAAGGGAGAAGTACTGATATTGTGCAAATTTCATTTAGAAGAATAGACTATTTGTAAAAAATAAAGGGGAGTATTATCGACTGGTAAGTTCGTAGTTGAAGAAAAGTCGTTTCTCAAAATATTAGGTCATTTCTTAAGTTTTGGCACTAGGGCAATAAACGTCAAAGTTATCAACTAGACCCAGTAATGTGGAGTGCTGTGCAAAAACGTTTGCGTCAGCCGGGATTCGAACCCAGATCTCACTCTTTCCACATTATTGGGTATACTGTAACATCATACCACTGCAAGTGGCAGTCAAATAAAACGAATTCTGACTGATTATGAACTAGAATCAATTAAAATTGCATAACTTTGGTATCGTTCAATCGTACATTTTCTTGCGAACATTTTGGTAACAACTTTCCTATAGTTGCTTTAAGATAGAGCTGTCGTGGGAACAAATTACTTGCTGCTCATGCACGAATGGCGTGTAGGGGATAAAGTTAGTGAAGAGGAGGGCAAGACTAATGGAGCTTCCTACGGACGGCCCGAGCGCGACTGATCCTTCAGACTGTTCTCTCTATCTCTGAACTTTGCGAACCACTTTCTAGCCGTATGATCGTTCCATTAATCTTACGCGATGCTTCGCTATCATTTTCCCCTACGCGCATTCGTGAATGAGTAGCTAGCAATTTTGTTCCCACGACAGCTCCATGTCAAAGCAAGTACAGGCAAGTGTATACCGAAATGTTTGAAAGAAAATGCGCAATTGAACGACACTAAAACCATGCAATTTTGATTAATTCTTGTTAAATAAATTTGGTGTTTATTGCTCAGGTGTCAAGACGCTACGTGGATGTCATACGACAATAAATGAATATTCGATCTCATCCGCTGGACAAGAATTTCCTTGGAGTGTTAGTAGTTAGTAATTAATCGAAAGCATAAGGCTCTAGCTAGACCCTTACATGGCCGTTTTTGAGAAGTTTCTTTCACAACGCTGTAGCATGCAAGATACAATTATTTTCGCACCCGTCGCCCGCCTTCATTTTTATCACGCGTATACTTCGCTGGAAGCACGAAAAGCATACGAACGTGTGGAGAAAATATCGTAGTATCTGAGTCAATTGTTTTTTGTGAAGTTTCTTTCAAAGCGGAGATAAAATCTCTAATTAAATAGCAAGTTACATTCCGCATGTCTAACCCATCGGGTCATCTATCGATTACCCCCCACACATCCCGTAGGATAGCCCGTAAACAAGCCGCTGGATATGTGAAACTCGATATTATTTTCCTCTGTACACTGCACTGAATCGCTCTTTTTGGAATATAAGGACAGCATTGAAGTCACTGAAATTTAGGCTACTGAAATATTACTAATAGCCTAAAGAAAGATCACTGTCCGTCGAGGTGTAGAACGTAAATGTTTTCTTTTTCCTTCATCGATACCAAAAGAAATTTTCCAAAAAGCAAACACATTTTTGAGTTTCGAGACTTGTGCTTCAAATGAGTACTAGCGCTCTAAAGAAGGACTTTTTTTCCAGCGGTATATAAGCGAGATAAGAAAAAAACGCGTGATCGTGTTTTACATAGTTTTATTTTGAATGTTCCAGCGTTATAAAAAGGTTTTCTGAAAAATGATTACGTAGGGCTGTAGCCAGAGATCTAAGCTTTCGAACGATCAGTAACGCTCCCACGAAGATCTCTTGCCAGCGAATGAGGTTGAGTATTCATTTATCGCCTGCTAACATATAATTGCCGCCAAAGTTTATAGAACGGTTTAATATTACCACCACGCATCACGCTAGATCTCATTTTAGGTGTTTTCAGATATTCTCCGATTGTGTCGACACTGAATTGAAACTAATTGGATTCATCATAGGAATCATATCTCTCATGTTATGGCTTGTTCCGCTCATACCGCAGATTCTACGGAATTACAAGACGAAGAAATGTGACGGGCTTTCGCCGATATTTTTATTGTTATGGTAAGAATTTGTTATCCGTCTTAAATTACTTTTCTTTGCAGAGTGATCGTTTACGTAGATGAACTTTTTCATATTATCACTCTTGTAGCAGTATTATGACGTCACAACACTATATCTGAGGATGCTGAGTGGTCTGCAAAACACCTCAGGCGAGGTCGAACCCGTGTTTCTCCAATGCAGGGGCGTA